CTCACTCAATTCTCAGTTTTATTCCTTGCATCATATAATTTATTTGACATGACATCTGGGTTCCATTTATTTCTTGAGCTACATTCCTGCCAAGAGATCAAAAGACCACCTTTTATATCATTTATCTGATACACAATCTTTATAGAAAATCTGGAAGTTCTTGTCCACATCCATCCTCCCCTTGAGGAATTTCTCTAGATTTTTGAGAGGAACCTCCACCATTTGGTTGTTGACACGATCATTTAGCCCATATGCACCAAAGACAGGGAACTTATAGCGCACAAAGTACGGCGCATTTTGGTCGAACTCGGTGCAGCAGTAGGCCGACCACATGTACTCGGGCACAGCTACCCGTTCCTGGTTGTTGCGACGGATCGTGTGTCCAGAAGTGGTGACCCCGGTGATCACAAAGGCTTTGCCGCGGCAGTAGTTGTTGAGGCGCTTTCGGACGATGTCTCGGTGTTCCGCCCAAGGACCCATGTTGAACTCCCTGATTTGAGGCACCACGTTCGTCAAGGTGTAGGTGGACGCCTTGTCTAGAGGGTCAGCCTGATGCTCATCGGGATTTAGTTGGCCGCGTTCATACTGAACCACATCGGCGTAGTCCTCCAGGACTGCCTGGGAGTCCTCAAAGTTCATGTGCATGTTTGCAGACTGGGGGAAGGGCTCCATGTTACTGCTGCTCTTGTCTGAGGCCAACTATGGAGAGAGAGAGAGAAAAGAAAAAGCAAAGTAGTTTTACTCACAGTTTGCACAATATTTTTTTTCTGGGAATGGTGCAAAGACTCATGGGAATAGAGATGATATGATGGTATTGTTTGCTTGTGCGAATGTTTAAATAGACCAGTAGTTGTCCAATAAGTGAGTGGAAATGTGAATAAGCTCATATCTTGTCACACTTATACAAATATAGGAGACAAAATTCATGGTATGTGGGCAAAGAGTTGAAGTTATACTTTTAAAAAGATAATCTGTTTATGAAGATTAACCCCAACCTGACACACCAGATGGCTGCCTCTCCCTTAGCCTGTTTCTGTCAGAGGTTTCTTCCTGCTAAAAGGAAGTTTTTTTTTTTCTTCCCACTGGCTCCAAGTGCTTGCTCTTCGTCTGATTGTTGGTCTTTACCTTGCAGTATAAAGCAGCTTAAGGCAACTGTTATTTTGATTTGGCTCTATATAAATAAAACTGAATTAAAATAGGAAGACAAAAACAGTATAACAGCACCCAAAGGGTTGAGAGTCAGCTGCTAAAGCTTACAATGAGCACAGCCATGAACTGTAAACTCTGCTGTAGTTTACACAAAGCACCGTTAAAAGTTGACAAATCTAGCTGCCAGTATTTTTCTGCAATTAAACAGCCACTTCTTACAGAAAAGAAACTAACTTTTGTCATTTTTAGAGAAAAATGCCAAATTTGCATAAATGGTAATGGCAACACTATCTCAGTGAAATAGCACACAGAGCTAATAAAGCAGCTTATCTCAGCTTTACATTGTTTCTATTACAGTAGCATAGTTGCTGCAGTTCTTTAGCTGCTTGTTAAGAAACATCAGGTGATATTGCCTTTACA